AGAACTGTGTTCCAATGCAGTAAAGAACAAGTTAAAAAACATCTGGCACTTAGAAGAAAAAATACTCCCATTGTGGTGTTGGAGAGACCACTCGGTGGGGAAGAGCACTTGCTGAGGACCTGAGTTCAGTTCACCCAGGAGAGGTAATTGCAGCCGAGGGATCCGAAGCCCTCTCTGGCTCCTGGGGCATCAGCATACCTGTGGCGTTCACTCATACAGACACACAGATACTCATGAAGAGAGATAAATACATCTAGAGGCTGCAGAGATGCTCAGAGGTGAAGGGCACTTGCTGCTCTCCCAGAGGACCAGAATTTGGTTTCCAACACCCACATCATCAGGTGGCTCACGCCTGTCTGTCACTCCAGCCCCAGAAGATCCAACACCTTCTTCTGCCCTCCATGGACACCTGCACACATACGCACAGATTCACATGCAGACATACCTGTATACACTATGTTACTCAGAGATAATAGTGTCTAAGTAATCAGTGCATGCATGATGGTACAGAATCAAGCTTAAATACTCATTAAGGCACAGGTAAAACAAGAACTTGGTTTTAATACAAAGACGTGAGCAGAGTGCCTTGCGTGGACTCAGATTTCTCACGGCAGCTAAACCTTAAGAGGGCAGCATTTGCTGAGTGGTAGAAACATGAAAGAAAAGTCACCACAGCATCTCTGTTTTTATTGCCTATCTGTCTGAAGCCAGGCTTTCTTCAGATGCTCAGGGAAAATGACACACCACAGAAGAATGAATGGAGAGGCAGCTATGAGGGACCTACCTCCTCCGACTAAGCCAGACATGACAGAGGTCAGAAAAAATAAAACTAGGCAGCTATTCCCACGAAACACTTTATGGAAAATATAGTTATAGTCCATGAGAATGTCCCATATATTGATGTGTAAGGAGTTCATTGCTTTTATTTTTAAATAAATTTTATAATAAGTATCTTTACAATATGTCCGTTTTAATTTCTAATAGAGTGAGTGTTGAGAGACACGAACCATATAAACTAATATTCTTTAGGATATTTGATAACTTCCATTTTGTTTTGTTGAGATAGGATCTCTCTAGTTATCCCTGGCTGCTCAAGAGCTCACTCTGTAGACCAGGTGGCCTCAAACTCACAGAGATCCACCTGCCTCTGCCTCGGAAGTGCTGGATTAAAGGAATGCGCCACCATACCTGACAAGTTTGACAACTTTTTAAAAGAGAACACTGGCCCTCAGGCAAAAGCATTTCAGATGCTATCCTAATGCATTTGGTATGGAAACTTTTCTCTGTGAAGTGAACACCAAAGGAACGGCCATATCACAGTGTACCTGGAAAATGACTCCTCTACCTGCCCAGTCTCCTCAGATATTCTGCAGCACATTAACTCAAAGGATTCCCTCCCGAGCAGCAGTAGCTCTATGCCTATGCCCATGGCAGTGAAGGCATGTTTGCTTGGGCAAGCACAATCAGGGCTGACCTCATCTGCTTAGAAGAAGCCTTAATCTTGGGAATTCTTTCACTGAGCAAATGTTCCAGACCAGTCGAGAGAGAAATGCCAGTGCAGGTTTGCATACTCCTACAGCAGATAATCCTCTTAGGAGACATCTTGCCAAGGTGTCTCGAGAGCATAATAGATATGTCAGTTAAAACCAGGGCCACTGTCGTTTCCTATTCTATTTCTGACAAGAACGAAATGCCTGACTTAAGTAGCTATGTTGCCAACAACCCTCTCAACTGAAACGAACGGAATGGCAGCAATTTGGACGCTAATGACAAGTCATGTTGATAAAAAACTGTGCACAAGCCAAAAAGATCTTAAGAACTAATTTATATTTCAAAGATGGCTTTTTTAGACTTCAGAGTGGCCTGGAGGGATGGCTCAGCCGTTAAAGGCTAGGCTCACAACCAAAAATATAAAAATATAGAGTCAGAGTAATTCTCTACTTGGAGCAAAACTGAAAGCCTTGCATACAGAATTTCGCTGTAAATCTCTCGCTTCTGTCAGATGTCAAATGACTGGCCAGAGCTTGTTCACAGATGGCTGAGGAAGACCCTGGGGGAAGGGTCAAAACTGAGGGGCTGGACACCGTTCTCGGCAAAACTCATCACATAAGACAGCTATTTAACCCTCTCCTCTTTATTCTGGGATCTACCCAAATAACAGGAATCCTTAGGTTCATTCATGGAGTCTGTAGGAGTTGAGTTAATAAAACGTTTCTCAAGGATGACAAGCGCATCATCCGCCTCTCAATACACCTACTCTCTCTACACCACACCCTTGGGACAAGACGATGTTACCACTTAATCTGCTTCCATAAACCCTTCTTGAGGACGGAGGCCAATGACATGGTTCAGTAGGTGCTGAACTGCCTGCTGGGATGCCTGCTGCCCAGACCAATGGCCTGACTTCAATCCCCAGGACCACAAGGTAAAAAGAGAGACGACTCAAAATCTTTCTCTGACCTCCACACACACCCCACAGCGTGGACAGCTTCCCCATCAAATGCACACAAAACAAATAAATAAAATACACTCTTAAAGCTCTCTTGAATACTTCCCACGGCCATAAATGGTTAATGCTATGGGTGTTTTCCTTCTTTCCCTGGCAGTGCTAAAGATGGAAGTCAGGGATTTGTGCCTGTAAGGCAACTGCTTATAACCTTAAACCAGCATACTCAGTTTGGGGTCCCATTCTATCTCACTTAAACCTCCCAGCCACTGTACAAAATAATTATCATAATCATTCCCGTTTGACAGATGAGCATGCACACTCAGCTGCCTGAGGTCACTAGTTTCTACGTCACAGAGATAGGATTTGAATCCAGATCTCCGGACTTTCAAGTGTGACTCTGTGGAGCATATATCTGAGACGAAGGCGTGGTTAACACTAACATGATTCCTGGCTCTGAGGCAGTTGAGTAGGATGGCGGCTTTTAGCGCTACACATTAGCTTTATTTAAAAAAAAAAAAAGCCCTCTTCCCTACACAGGCAAGTGTGGCATGTGTTAGACTTCTTTCTGCCTTTCTGCCTTTCTGCCATGCTCTTGACATGCACCCCTGAACCTGATCCCTCCTGACACATCTACCTTCCTCTCTGCTTCTGCTAATGACCTCTGAGACACTGGCCAGAGTGGCAATCACTGAGTCAGTGAGTTAAAGGGGCAAACAAAAGTGGGTGTCCACGAATCCACTGCTGTCCCTTGGTGTCTTCAGGAGAGGCGTCCCAGGATCCCACGGACACCAGAACCCCCAGATGTTCTAGTCTCCTGTACAAGATGCCAGAGTTGGCAAATAGCCTCCTCACCACCTCCTATATCCTTCAAACAACCTCCAGATTGCCCACAATGCCTGAGATGATGTCAGTGCTCTATGAATTGTTATACTCTATTGTTGAGGGAATAAGGACAAAAGAAAGTGTGTTTGTACATGTTCAGCATGAATTAGATGCAGGGGGTTGGCAAACATTTTCTATCTGCTATTAGCTGAATCTACTGATATGGAAGTTGTGGCTATGGATTGACAAAAAAAACACATTAATTTCCAAATGATATTCTTACACCCTGGGGATTATGCAAAAGAACCCAGCAGGGAGCATTGGAGAATGCTGGCATTTCTATTCACATTTTATACTTGAAATTATGAACACATAGCTGGTTGTGGGGGAGCACTCCTGCAACCTCAGCATGTGGAAGGAGGAAGCAGGAAGATTAGCAGTTCAAGATCAACCTCTGCTACACAGAGGGCTTGCGCTCGAGACCAGTCTGAGCTCCGTGAAACCTGCCATTAGAAAAAGAGAAGGAGCCGGGCAGTGGTGGCGCGTGCCTTTAATCCCAGCACTCGAGGCAGAGGTAGGCAGATCTCTGAGTTCAAGGTCAGCCTGATCTATAGAATGAGTCCCAGGACAGCCAGGACTATACAGAGGAACCCCGCCTTGAAACTACGTAAAGGAAGACAGACTAGAAAAGAAAAGAGAGAAAGGAAAGCATGAGAGCCTCCTTGTCATTTCCCTGGGAACTTTGGCAGCCTCACCCAGGCAGCCTACAGCTCCAGACACATGCCTAGCACCAGAGACTGCAGAACCTCAGGTGAGGTTAGCTGCAGGGCCCGTGACTGCTTCTTGTATACTGTACGAAATGACACTTCCACCATGGGCCCAACTGAGAAAGTGGGTATATGGATTATATTTTCATTTTAAGTGCACTGATATTCATGAGCTGCGCAAGCGACTTGAAGTAAGTCCTGCGAAGAACTACAAAGAACGCTGGCAGCAATCCGGCAAAAACAGGCCGGGAAATAGCAGAGTTTTGGCCGCACCTCATACATTCCTCTCGGACACATCATAATATCAGGGTGATCAGATCTGACTAGACGCTGGCAAAAGGGAAAACACAAAAGAACACCGATAGTATCAAAACTTAGACTTGCGGCTCCTGTTCTTATCAACAATCTTTGTATGAAAAAAAATGTTATCACTGCCTTGGGAAACTGGCTAAGAGTATTTCATATGGTTGATAAATAACTATATTTTTCTTAATGGGATTAAAGAACTTTGCAACTCAAAATGCTGTTTGCAATGGGCTAGCCTGGCCCTCACTGGTCACTTATGGGACACACAGTCTTGGGGACCACCAAGCCCTGAGCCTTGATTTCTACTTTAAGCCATCACCGCAAGGCTCATGCGCACACTGGAACGCGAGAGGTGCCGGAGCTTCAAAAACAATGCCATAAACAGCACGAACCCTGACAATTCAGCTCTTGTTTATAATTCTAGGCAGGCTTTTCTGCTGAATTTTTAAATCCTGAAGCTGATCATTTTAAATATATATTACAAACATCCTTCAACAAACACCATGAACTCCCCATAAATCCCAAATTCTGTTAAACGACATATAGCAACATTTTCTCATTACCCCCAGAACACTCAAAATAAGCATCCCGACCTCGACACCATACAAACCCCGCAGCCGCCCGTGCCTTATCTTTTGATTCCCACTTCCACTTACTTTAGTTTGATCGTCTGCTTTAAACACATAGCAGAGGCTCTGCCTGTTGGCAGCATCCTCCTTAATGAGACAAGCAAAGTAACTCGGGTCGTGACTGTTGTGAATCAGTTTGTGGACATGCTGAGGCTTGCACTCAAAAATGCTGGAACAGATCAGTGGGTCCCATTGTTGACTTTTCCTCAGGTCAGGTTCACATTTCAGCCCAGAGGGCGAAACCCAGAGCCGGACTTGCTTGACTCCAGGCTCCTTCTTGGAACCCTGGCCACTGAGTCGTCGTACCTCGGCCACCACCCATGGCAGCATGGGCATAGTGGTGAGAGAATGCACAGGTAAGGAGCCCACCAGCTGCAGGCCAAAGTCCACCGAGTTCTCATTAGGGAACGGATGCTTCCTCGCTGTGAACGTGATCGCGTCCATCCTGGGAAAGGGCTGGAGAGCCAGGAGATCGGGCTACTGTTTTCCTAGTTCAATGGAGTGATCTGTTTCACATGCTTCTGAAGGGATTCCTGGGGGAGACAACCAAAATTTAATCAAGTCGTATCAACAGCTGCTTGCAGAGTTATTATCCCAGAATTTAACAGTCTGATGCTTAAATGTAAGAAGAAATGGATATTTGTTCAAATAAACTCTACCTAAAATGAGATTCCCTGAAATTGTTTTACGCATAAAACCTAGAAATGGTGTAACTGGCACATTCATTGTGGGACACAAGGATCCTATTGGGAATTTGTGGAGAATATGAGTCTCACAGTGTCAGAAAACAACAACAACAACAACAAAAAAAACCAAGGTCGGGAGGGAGGGTTAGAGAGATGGCTCAGGGGTTAAGAGGACTTGTTGCTCTTGCAGATGACCTGGGCTCAGTTCCCAGCATCCACATGGTGATTCACAACCATCTGTGACTCCAGTTCCAGGGGATCTGATACCTTCTTCTGACCTTTGTGGGCACTAAGCACACACATGGTGCACAGACATACATGCAAGCAAAATACTCACACACAAAATAAAATGAAGACATCTAATCTAATCAAATATATAATATAATACAATACATATGCACACACACACACACATGAGCACAGAAGAAAATGAGATAGTTCTGACAGTTCCACACTCTGTTAGAGCACTTACAACTTATTCAGGGGATTTCTCTCTAAGACAAACTTCAATAGCGGTCATCCCCACCCCCAAAAGAGAAATATTGTGAGGGGAAAAAAAATCAGCCCATTTCTTTTTATAGTTTACTGAACCAGACCCATTTTTAAACAGCTGACCACCAAATTTACTTTTTAAAGAAAAACCCAGGAGCTCACTCATTCTAGGCTACTGTTCTACCACTAAGCTATAGCCCCAGGTCATAGTCAAATCTTACTTTATTTTATTTTTTGAAGAACAGCTAGAGGTTTTTGTTTTGTGTTTCTTTGTTTGTTTTGGGTATGAATGTTTTGCCTGGATCTATATGTGTGTACCATGTTGAATGCCTGGTGCCCAAGGAGGCCAGAAGAGGGCACTGGATCCCCTGAAACTGGAGTTACAGATGGTTGTAAGCCTCTATATGGGTGCATGGAACCAACCCAGGTCCTCTGTAAGACAGTCAGTGCTATTAACCGCTGAGCTATCTCTCTAGTCCCAAGAGATGGAGTTCATTAAGATATTTTCATATAAATTTAAGCTCTAGCATTAGGAGAATAAAAGGAGGTGGGAAAAAATCAAGACATTCCTGAGGATATAGGTATGGGAGTCACAAACCAGCCTCTCCTACTCAAAATTCCCTGAGCCTGTCCAGCGGTTCAGACTCACAAATTCATACTCTTTTAACACATATTTGGCCTTATCATGGTCAAAACATAGCGTAAAGATTAGCACAATTCATTCACTGTAAGTCCTCACCTCAATCTTATGCCATTCTGCCAACAGACGCCAGTCATCTTTTCCAAAACCAAATTCTCTTGACTAAATTCCTTATCATCAGCAACTACCTTTAATGTATTTTTATTAATGGATTGAATGACTTTTTTTAGATAGAGTTTCTCTGTGTAGTCCCTGTATCCCAGAACTTGCTTTGTGACCAGGCTGGCCTTGAACTCTACATGCCTCTGCCTCCCAAGGGCTGGTATTAAAGGTGTGTGCCACCATTGCCTGATTCCTGTGATGTAGCTTAAAGCTCGGCCCAGAAGATGGCCAAAGGCTGTTGTGCGAAGCTCAGTTGCCAATAGTGCCTCACGCATCCCCATTCATCCCCGCTCACCCCAGTCCCATCCATCCCTGCTCACCCCAGCCCCATCCATCCCCGCTCACCCCAGCCCTGTCCATCCCTGCTCACCCCAGCCCTGTCCATCCCCGCTCACCCCAGTCCCATCCATCCCCGCTCACCCCTGCCCTGTCCATCCCTGCTCACCCCAGCCCTGTCCATCCCCACTCACCCCTGCCCTGTCCAGCCTTCGGTCGTCATGCCTCCCTTAGAGTACTGACACCAAGAGAAGCCCCATGAAGGACAGGACTGTACCTGTCTTCTTTGTTCTGACACTGGGTCTGACACACAGTAGGACCTCAAGGGTATCTTAAAGAATGAGAGAATCATCTCTTATCCTAAGAAGGAGGCTTATGACAAAGAAGGAAGAGAAGAAAGGCTACTTTTAAAACTTCCTAGCCCTCACGTCTTCCTTCCCGTTCTTCTCGCACAAATTTCTTCCATGTATCCTTCCTCTCCATGTCTTCTCTCCCTGTTGCTCATCTATCTACGCTTGGGAGCCCTCAGCTACACTGCAGAGCCACTGAAACTGCCTGCATTAAAGCCACCTGGGTCTTCTGGGTTGTGAGATCCAAAGACAGCGAAGTGGCCCTACCGCTGCCTGGCTCCCTCTAGATGATTTTTCAGGCAAGCCACACCCCCTTCTTCCTTTTCTTTTCGCATGAGCACACGTGTTGGCATGTGTGTCTGTGGACACAGGTGGGTGGCAGTGTACAAGGAGGGCAGAGGTTGAGGCTGGGAGTCATCCCCCAGCACTGTTCCAGCTTAGTCATTTAGGCAGGGCCTCTCAATCAAGCCCAGAGCTTCCTGGTGTAGTTTCCATAGCCGGCTTGCTCCGAGGAGCCCCCGTAGCTGCCTTCCCAGGCTGTAGTTATAGGCAAGCTGCCATGCCCAGCCAGCATGTCTGAGGGCTCTGGTGACCATAACTCTGGTCCCCACATAGGTTTACTGTCCTATGTCCCCAGATTTTGTGCACGTCCCTTCTTGAGACTCTTCTGGCTCCTGTCTTATCTGCCAGGTACTTGTTTTCAGGTTATTAGAAGGCCCCCAATTTCTGTTTGGCCCCCATTCCCTTCCCTTATTCCACCTGCTTTTTCTTGTGACAGTATTACCTTTTGGTGCCAACAAACAGTTGCATGCTCATATTACTGTGAACATGACGCATTCTACGTATGTTAGCTACAGGTGACTCCTGTGAACCAGGAGACCAAAGTCCCTGACTAGCTTGTCACAGAGTGACATGGAAGAGCTTGCACCTGGCCCTGAAGCCCATCTTCTTAAACAGTACCCTCCCCCCTCAAATGAGTTGATCACATACATCCTAATAACTCCCAAGTTTTTTTTTCTCCCAGACAATCTCCTTTCTGAGTTCCAGATGAGCCATTCATTCAGATTTCTGTATCGTCTCAGCTGATCAGCTCTCGGCCTGAGCTTAGCTGTCTTACAACGAACCCAGTCTCAGCTCCCTCTTGACCAGAGCTTCTCCTCCTGCATCCCAGCAAACAGCATCACCGTGCACTGTATGCTGTTCGCTGCTTCCTGTTTCCAGAGCAAACCCCAGAGACAATCAGCTTAGAAAGAGAAACAGTTCGCTTTGGCTCACGACTGCAGTCCCTCAGACTCCGATGGGTCGTGTTGCTGCTTTCAGGAGAGAAAGAAAGGACGCTGTGGCAGGAAGGTCAGCACAGATACACCACTTAATTCCCACTTAAAAGAGAGGATAAGGAAGGGCCCGGGGTCCCACCATCTTTTTCTAGGGCACAGTCTTAACTTGGAGACTTCCCACAAGGCCTACTTCTTAAAGGTGCCATTCTCTCCCAGCAGTGGCTTCCCGAAGACCATGCTTTTACCACGTGGACCTGGCAGCAGCCTGGGTGCACATGACAGCACTGGCCAAGTCACCGGGATTCCTCCGTCATCCCATCGGTCCTGACTCTACCATATAAATATATCTGACCTTTCCGTCCCCTAGAGAACCCTTCTGCTATCTCTCAGCCATCACATGCCATGAGCTCTACACACAAACATTTCCTTGGAACCCTCAGCCCTATACTCCCCCCAATGTCCTCCTCTACAACACTTTTTGGTTTTTAAGACAGAGAAGCAGTCACAATCGCCATATAAGATGTGGGTTCTCGTGGCCTGGTGCCATGGTACACACTATCCCATTCCCCTCTTTGAACATGAGACTAGTCACTGACTGGAAGGCGCCAGAGAGTTTTCCTCACTTGAAGGGGACAAGTTGGTCTTCACGGTTAAACTGCTGATAGAGCAAACGAGATTCCTGCATGGAAGGTAAAGGACAAGGACCAACAGCAATAACCAGAATCAGCGGTGATGCCAATTTCCCATCATCCACAGGCAGGAGGACACCTGTCACCGTGCATCACAGTAGAAGAAACCGGGCTTAAGCAACCTGCCTGTATTCTGGTGAAGAATGTATCCATCTGGCACCAGAGGAAGTCACTGCTTCTAGCTACCATAGATATTTACAGCAGAGGCATGATGGGAAGTGTAGTTCAGAATAAAGGCATCGAGTGGCCCTGCTCACAATATGTGTAGAAACACTGAAGACCCAAGGAGAAGAACCGTCTCTCAGCCAGTCCCACGTTCATCCCTCGAGCCCAGTTATATCACTGCTGGAGCAACCACAGCCTCTTTCTTCCTTGGGAGGTCAGAGCCACCGGCAGCATGCCCTCTCCATTACTGCACTTGGAGTCTCATTGTCACATGTATTTTAAGAGTCTGGACAGACATTCTTCAACAGACTGCGAGCTTCATACACCAGTCAGGTTTCGGGGTAGAAAAATCAGTATTTGAATTTTAAACCTTTTCTAAGACAAAAATGAAGTCTGTTCTTTATTCTGTTTTCCCATTTTGTATGTGTGTGTGTGTTCTAAAAGTAAAGTTTATTCTTTGAACATAGTTTATAGCTACTTTAAGATTTATTTTTATTATTTTTAACTATGTGTATGTGTGGGGGTATGTGCACACGAATGCAGGGGCCCTAGGAGGCCAGAGACACGGGATCTCTCTAGAGGTGGAGTCACAGGCGGTTGTGAGCCACTCCATATGGATGCTGGGAACTGAACTCTAGTCTCCTTAAAGAGAAAAATGCTCTCTTAACTGAGATAGCTCTCAAGCCCCAATGCTATGGTTTTTTTTTCTTTTTCCTTTATCTACCTGTTGGTTTATTTATTAGTTTTTAATTAAGTTTATTCATTTATTTTACATCCTGACCGGTTACCCCTCCCT